AAACCGGATTATAATCTCTCAAATTTAAGCAGCAGCTGCAATGACATGGTGGGGAGATTTTCTTAAGATTTGGAAGGTCAGCATGTCAGTTTAACCCCCGCCCGGGCCCTGTTGTGGCCTTGAACTTCTCATTACAGGATAAACTGATCAACAAAATAATCCGTCTCCCAACACTTGGAAGAGTCTTGGAAACAAACACTTTATAAATACCACTGAATGGCAAATAATATAGTATTTTTTAGAGGTCTTGGTCGAACACAGCTAAAATGTCTCATTATTTTCCATGATCAAGCATCTAATGTCTGAGCATATATCCATCTGTATTAAACACAGTGAGTTCAATTTCTTTCCACTCACACATCCTGAGCAATGCTGGCTGCACATCCTGTTATGCTGTAATAAATGTGTTTCATGGGGATCTATTGTACTGCACTGCTCTCCACTTAAAGCAATGATTCTTTCAGTTGCTGCTTGTCTGCCCAGTTACACAGGTGTGCAGATGAAATAAATATATTTTTCCTGATAAGAATATTAGGATTCACACAGTCATGAACTCTCTGGAAGTTAGAGTGACAGCCAAGATTTTTAACAGCTCCTGAGCAATGAAACCAGACAGTTGCTATCCATTATGATTTTCCTCCCACTTAACAACAAAACACACATTAAATGTAAATTACCCTCAAGAGAGGACAAACGTGGACTGACTCTGGTTTTATCCTTCTAATAGCTAAGGATTTGTACCAGAATCACTAATCATCTTGAGCAACCCATGTTTCAATGGCTAGTATATGCTGCTGTGCTAGACAACTTAAAAAATTTGTATCCTGAAGTTGACTCCTGGTAGGAGCGTGAGCTCTTCTGCATTTAGAGGTGTAGAGTACTCAGATATTCTTTTCTACTGCTGTGATTTCTGATATGCCAGAGCAAGAACATAGGAATTGCTTTATGGACTAACTGGTCTGAATATCTTTCCTCCAGCAACATCATTAACAAGGCCACTTTAGAAAGCAAAACACTACCATTGTATTCACATCCTTAGATCTACAGGGTTATTAAGCTATAGGTCATGCCCACATTCACTTTGGTCTCAGTGGCAACCTTGATGTCCCACCTGTCTTTTCCTTCTTTGCATGTGAATATGCTTCGGTAAAGATTTTGCCTTGGTGCTACATGGACTATTATGACAAGTTCAGTTCCAAAAATGCAAATGAAGAGAAGATTGGCTGAAGAAGGTGCGCCAAGATGTGCTGAAAAGAAATTATTCTGCCTAGAAAGAAAAAACTGAATTACAGAAGACTGGATCTTGGAACCAATCCTATTTCATCTTGTCTTTAATGACCTCGGCATAAGAGACAGAAGTATGCAAATGACAATTGTATGGTACAAAATTGGACATATTACCAATACAGCAGATGATGAAAATAACTCATGGGAACAGGCAAGAAATGTAATACTTCAGAGCACATGGTCATGCACATATGGACTACTGGTTATAAAGTGGGAGCTCATACCTTGCAAATGATTGAGAAGGATAAAGGTCTGAGTGCAACTACCTGAGCACAGAATAAGCATGTGCCAAAAAAACAGGCAAATATGAATCTAGGTGGAGTCAGTGACATATTTCCAACACAGATAGAGAAGTATCACCATGTACGCCCCTAGTAAGACTTTATTTTGAATGCAGGGTACATTTCTAGTCTTTCAGGATCAAAATGACTCAAATTAGAACCACTGCATAGGAATATTATGACACAGGAAACATGACATTCAAGGAAAGACTGTCAATATTTACTTGGTTAGCAAAAAGTAAATAAAAATCTGAGAAAGGAAATGTCTATACTCAATAAATGTTTCTTAAAGTGAAACACCAAGGAGGTACATATAAACCCCTGTATATAATATATAATATACAGTAATATATATTATATTATATTAACTATAAGTCAACTCTTAATAATATGTAATATATAATACACAATATACAATATATGATAAATATAAGTTAATATAACAAATATGTTATATACCATATTTTATTATATTTATTACATTACATTATCTCATATTAATTTATTGTATAAAATGTACTATACATGATATATTATATTTTATATAGATATAGTATATATAAACTCAGGTAATATAATAGTGAACAGCGGAATAATAGAATAGTGGTTTACAGAATAAAACAATATATTATATTATTATATATTATAAATTATATATTATTGCTCATGTAATTATTAAAATTATGCATTATATATTCTAGATTGTATAAATGTGATAATTATATATTATATATCACAAAATTATATCCAAAATATTAATTATATGTAATCTATAATGTAATGTTATACAAACTCTACATTAATATTGAAAAAACTTAACATGTTAGGTTCACGTATCATACAAAGTAGCAATGTTAAGGACGTTTAGAGATATATGCAGGATATTATGTCTATCTTGGGCTGATATATTAAAATTATTTCCATTTGACTCTTAAGAGAAAAAATATGCTTTGAAAGGAACAAAAATACTTATGGTAATTTGCTAAAATTGATGGTGCTTACATTAAATCAAAAAGTTGCAAATATTTTTAGGACACAGAATTGAGAAAGTAAACTGCAATTGCTACACCATGTGGTCAGGGTGACTTTTGTTCACACTTATCTGTTCTTTTCCTGAGTAGTGACTATATTAAATCAACTGTATCTGTAGACTTGGGTTCACTAAATCTGATGAGTAACATTTATTGACTCCAGTAACTTTTATATACAAGAATGATTTTGTACATGCAAAATCTAATATTATTGCTTGAATTTATGAAATAATACAGAGATTCTTAGCAAAAGCCATTTATCCTCCAAAAGGTTGTTCTACTTTCAAGTTTTCTCTTTTCTGCTCGTAATTTTGGGGCATTGTAATTACTCTTGGCTAGAATAATTAAAAAAAAAAAATTTGAACTGGTTCTCTGTGTATGCTTATCCAGGGATTGTATGTTTCAGATTTAAATATATACAGTTTTCAACAGTAAAAATGAGAATCTGTTCATATTTTCTCAATCATATTTAGTATTAATTTCCCCTATGTCAATAAAAATCAATCAACATTATCTTTTAAGTTATCTTAATTTCATTACAATAGAGAGACATACTCCAAATGTTGTTGCATTGTAGGGAAGAGGAAGAGGAAGAAAGAGGCTTGCATTTCTAAGAGGACTTTTTTAATACCAAGGATTGCATCCAAAATATTTCCGTTCATCTCCTTAATGAATTTCTTTGTGCTAGTTTGGAATCATTTTCTCTGAGCATGCAAATATGCATAGTGTGCTTTAAGCAAAGTCAAAGTTATTAAAAACCTGAAATCCTCTTCTTTAATCCCTAGTAATAATTGTATAAATGCAGTGTTCTGGTAATCCTCAAAAGAGGGTACTAGGGCACATAAATCTTGTAAGATGAAAGCTGCAATCATGAGTTTCTCATACTGTACAAAACACCCTTGTGAACAACTCTGAACACAGATTTACTGAATTTTAAACTGGCCCTTCATCCCTGTTTCAGCAAGCGTCCTCTGCAGATTTAATGATCAGGAACATCCTCCTGATGCACGCCGGGAGATACGGCTGCAGGGTTCAGACCGCAGCGGACACCGTGTCAGATGAGACAGAGCTGCTTGTTAGGGGTGAGTATGCTCGTGGTGCCACCTGAAAACACAGTCACCAGAAACCATTGTACCAAGGAATTTAAATATGTGGGCTTTAGGGACATCTGTGCTATGCATTATTCTTCAGATTTTATACTATTGAAAACATTTGTGATTAACCTACTTGTCCTTGAAAGCAGTTTCATCATAAACTGATCTGCAAACATGGCAATGAAGACAGTTGGTTAATGGACGTACAGTCTTAAGAGAGGTAATAGCCCAAAAGGTATTCCAGATTAGTTAAAAGGTAGACAATTAGCATTCACAGGCCTGTGTAAGGTAGGTATGATGGGTTCTATGCTTTTTTATATGATGCTTTACATTTTATCTTATGGCCAAACCATTCTCTCAGGTGTAATTGTTTAGGAATATTCATTCCTTTCCTATGAGGAAGGACCATGCAGCGTTTTGTAAAATGATAGATACGAACAATGAACTAAAAGCTCCCTGATATGACAGGGATTTGTTTTTCTCGCATGCAATTGTGACTACCAAATTTTTACCACATCTTTAGGCCCAGTCCTGTAACCTGAGTTGCTTTACCTGCCATTCAACGTCCCTGATTATGCACAAGGAACACAGTGTCTTTGTCCTGCAGGATCCCAGATCCTATCTAGGACACCAGTTAGCTTACAGTGAATCAGGGTGTTAGCACCACACGTGCATTCCATTAAGCAGTGTTTCTGCATTCTGTACTACTTCTGTGTGTGTGCACGCACATGTGTGTTCAGCAGCTGACGGGAGTTGAGGACTTACAGTCCCCTTACTGGCATTACAGCTAGGGGGTGCTGCTATGGCAAAATAGATGGATCCCTGCTAGGTAGCACAGCTGGGTAGCCTCACTGGATTATACAGTTTTTGAAAGAATAAATCAAGGTAGATATTTGATTAATATTAGAAAAACTCCAGATTAAAAAAAAAAAAAAATCAAAGCTATTTAGAGATTATAATCTTTAAAAAATACTTATTCTACCACATTCCACCACTTCTTTAGATTTGCTATGTTCATATCCATCACTTTTAGGACAAATATATGCTTTAAATTATAATGAATGTTTCTGGCTGACTGCAGGGCTCTTCACATTTTGATGAAAGTAGCTGTTAAATATTTCCATAAAGTCACTTTGAGGACCATCAGATTTCTATGAGCTATGGCACTATTGGGATGGTGGTATTCAGTTGCCTCAACACAGACATATAATGCCATTTTAGCTGCCTTATGAAATCTGAGTCATCCTTCTGGGTTACACAAGACCTTATGTGTTACCTTTACCTCTCTCAGACAGGAGCTGGAGGCTCTATGGGTAGGCAAGGCAATCTCAAATTTTATGCCATTGAACTTATTAAGAGACAAAAAAAATCTCTTAGCTTACTACTATCTAAGGACACTGCAGACTGACTACAAAATTATTTTTTTAATACCAGTTATGCAAATGAGTTTATTGAATGTGATGTAGAAAATAAATGCTTCTCTGAGGAAGAGGTTTGAGATGAAAAAAAAAAGGGCATTGTAAGCAGTATCAGAATGTATGTATGTGGGTATCTCATTACCATGCCACCTTGCTGATCAAATGAAAACTATGACTGCTTTATAATGGAATTTAAATTCAAATATACTTGCTTACAATGTTCCCCTTTTCTTGGCTCTATGATTGGATAATTATAGGATACAGTAAGAAATGTTTGCATTGCTTTCACAAAATGCTTTATACTGTATGACTGCTTTTGTCCTGATGTAAAATTCAGTTTTCATTAAATTATAGGATATGGTTGGTTTGCTGAAGTAGTTAATTTCCTTAAGATATCTGTAAAACTTATGCAAATGAGGGCAATTACATCCTACAGTGTCAGTATTGCTTTCACCAAAAAATGTGGGATGGGTTTTTTTTGTATCGCATAAAATGTTTAAAGCACATTCAGTGCAAAGTTGCTAATGATTACTGCTTTATAGACCTCAGCATTTCAAAAACCCAAAATATTTAGGACCATCTAATCTATCTCTCCTTATACTGCTACAGGCATTTAATTTTCATTTCAGTATCTCTAATTCTTTTTTCTCCACCTATCTCAGTTTATAGAGTGCACTCAGTGGTCTGCAATTTGACACTGTCTGATGATGCCAGATTGCAGCACCTTTCAAACTTCTTTAGGTTTAGCTTTTGGAAATACCAGACATTGCTTAGGGGAAGAGACAAGCAGCAACAGATGTTTTAATAAATATTTCAGTAAACTCTGAAGAATTCCACCTGACAGAGGAAGTCATCATGTATGAAGAAAACCCATTGCCACTATGCAGTAAAGTCTGAAATCCAAAGCGGTATTATTCTTTATTTTCAGTATAGTCTCTAGGTAAAAGAATTTAATTTTATTCATATTACAAAAAACATCCTTGTGTTTTAAATGTTACAGCCCACAGCCAAATTGAGGCAGCAGAAGCTTTGTGATGAACTCTTAGAAGTACCAATATGAGCAAAGTTCCAGCACATCCTCGTTCTGACCTTACTCTCTCTCCTTTTGCCTCTGCAGAAAATGCCAGTCTTGAATGCTGATAATATCATACCAGCATACAACAGCATTTCAGTCATTAGTTATATTGTAAAGTTCAACTGGTGTTTTTAATATATCATTGTAATTTTTACTCAAAAAATTGTTCTGCTTACACCATTTCTACAGGAAACAAATTTGACATACCAAATAAATTAAAATCATCTAATTTTCCCTCCTTTAGATATTCATGAATATTAGAATTATTGCTATTAGCAAACTGCTTAAATTTATACTGAATTTTGTATTCAACTGGTGCATTGTTTTTAAGCCAAAGGACAGTTTTCTAGAACTTTACTACAAGGGACTTGGAAGACAACTATACCTTGCTGCAGCCTCTTCAGATGAAGGAAAGAGAAACAAACTCTTTGCAGACTCCTGTTGCTCATAACTAACATGCTGATCTTCAACAGGCAGACATTCACCACTGCATTTTCAGGCAATTGCAATGTCTCAGTATCATTTATTGTGGAGAAGGCACGGAGTATCCTGAAACCATATTTATCTTTTTTGAAGCCATACTTCCTAGCTGCTCTGTTGGAAGATCCCTTGAATATAGCCCAGGGAACTAACTGTGTCATTATTTTTGCACTTGTTCTTCTTTGTCCTGCATTATACAGAAGTTAAATTTCAAAAATGTCACCAATGAAAGACAATCTGAAGAACAGAGAATTAATAGTGCCAAGTAAATCTCAATTATTTTGAGTCTAATTACTTACAAGGAGGTAATTAACGGTGCAAGAAGATTTCTGAATTGACTACATACGTACGTATATGTGTGTGTGTGTGAACAACAGAATAAATTAAGATAGCAGTAAGTTTCTATTCTGCAACTTTCTACAATGGTTTACAGATTTTTTAAAACCATTTTCAAACCATTTTCAAATTCACTACCTCACAGTTCTTGATTTTAGGTAAGTTGCAGTGAAATACATCTAAAGTTATTTCCATAATGATTTTTATCTAGTGAATCTCTTCCAGGAACACTTCAAAACTATATATGAAAAGATATTGTAGACCATGTTTGAACAAAACTAAGATTCAAATTCCATCTGCACTAATTACTCAAAACAAAACATAAATACTTTTCTAAGTGCTTTGAAAATTTGATTAAATTAAGTATATTACAGTAAGAAATAACTTTTTAGTGGTCCCTAGTAATTTCCCTGCTTCCAAAATGCTGTTTTTCCAGCCCAAGTTATTTATTTTTCCCTTTCTGTTTCATTTTTCTAACACTACCAATAATGTAGATTTCATTAGGAAGAGATGTTCTGCTGGCAGCTGGACCTGTCAGGCAGTTCATTAGCTTTCCAGCTTAACTGTCTTCCATTTCAGTCTTGGAATGAGTTATGAATGATAAGTATTTCAGTAGTCTCATGTTAGTCAACAGTGACCTTCAGAGGACTGCTGTCTTGACCTACCTGACATATGTTTATATTCAGGTAGGCTACTACCTAACTTGTAAAAGCATTTCCTTTCCAAAATATGGTACTACAAAATTCTCTGCAGTTCACCATCAGAGTTGTTCTTATTATTAGGTACCTGAAGAAATAAGTTATGATCTTTTATTCATCCATCTGAGATCCACCACCCCCTCTAGATACACATCCTGACTCTGTGGAAGTCCCCAGAGAGGTCCCTTACTCTCTGAGTATGGGGAGGATGAGAGAGAGGGTTCAGCTCAAAGGCCAGGACTGATTTAAGGCAGAAAAGGCCATGCCAAACACTTACAGCTTAGTTCAGTAACTGCAGTGCTCACCTATGAGGTAGGATATTTCTTTTTAGCTGCCTAAGACCCAGCCTCAATATCACACTTGCCTCTCCTCAAGTGCATGCCAGATCTGCTGGCAGTAGATTAGGTGGGTTCAAGATGCCTTCAACCCCCTTTCTGAGGCAGAGTAGCCAGGAACACAGAAGTCAGGAGACAAACAAATGAGAGCCTGACTGTGTAGGGCACAATTTAGAGTACCTCCAACAACACAAATATTTGCTTCTTTCATTGAGTTGACTACTGCCCAAAACATGAACTAGTCCTCAGAGGAACCATCGTCAACAGCTTAAGCCAATACACTGAAGTGTGTATTGGGAAAGGGAAAAGCTAAACAACAGGCATGCACCCTCTGCACTGGATTTGCCCTGCAGCAGAGCAATGAGGCAGATAGTGATAAAGCCTTAAATACCACTGCCAGATTTTCTGGAAGACAGTCATCAGAGCCTGTAGCAGCAGAAGAAAGCATATAGGGCAGGCTGGTACAGCTCAAGGACATCCAGAAGAGAAAACAGCTTTTCACATAGGGTAGTAACTATTCTGGCACCAGGCCCACATAAATGTGCTACTTCAGAGGAATCCCATAACAGGAATTATGTATGTCTGATGGTCAAAGAAATTGTTTCAGTGGAGTGAATGAATACAACAAAAATCACATCTGTGGACT